GGACGTGGGAGGCCCCCACGGACCGTCCGGGGACCAGCAGTGCTTTAAACCCCTTTATCCCAAATCACACTAAGGCTCCTCTTGAAGAACGCTGAGAAACCCCACCGCCATTTTTTATTTTTTTTATTTTTTTCCCTGCATGCCCGAGTATCCCAAGCGTCACGCCCAGGTGACCGGCCGGTCGCGAGAATCTTCCTAGCTTTTTACAACAGCAAAAAAGAAAAGAAAGAGGATTAGCATGGAAAAATTCCTTTCGGAAAAGAATGCAGTCAATCCCCTCCCTCCAAATGGAGGGCCATCAATGCTGTAATTTTTTATTTTTGTTTTTCTAATTGTAATGAACCCAGTCTGATAGATACTCATCAGACGTCAAAGTACAAGTAGTCTCAGATCTGGACAAAGTCTCCAGTTAACGTGAAGTGATATCTGAAACAGTATCTCGTTACCAATAGACGAAGAGAGAAGAGAGTGGAGGGGGAATAGACAGAGGAGAAGGTGGAAGAGATAAACAATGATCACACAAGAGTATTCCAATCAAACCCCACTTCTTCTCCAGGCTTCTTCTCACATCCACGTCATCAACCAGTATACGATAACAAGTATGATAAGTCCTGATCACACAGAAGTGCCACGTGGCACTCTTATCTCATGAAGACCATGAAGACAACAGCAGAACACCGTAACGACGTCAACCTCAGGTGAGTACCAGATCCCAATCAACCACAGATCCCGATCTGAGATCTCCCTCCTTGTCGCAACCAGTCATCTCATGTAGACAGCGTGGCCAATGCCACGTCAGATGTAGAGACAGGTGGCATGCACCACATCATCAACGAAGACAGGTGGCAGCGCCACATCAGCAACACAATGTAGACAGGTGGCAGCGCCTCATCAGCAATGTAGACAAGTGGCATGCGCCACATCAGCAATGTAGACAAGTGGCATGCACCACATCAGCAATGTAGACAGGTGGCAGCGCCACATCAGCAATGCCTGGCGCACAGAACAGAAAGCGCCAGCATGCTGCCACATCCTCGCGTCGTTGTCCACAATGCCTGTGCACGGCCAGCGTCAAGCCAGCGTTTCGCCAGCGTCGAGCCAGCGTCAATGCCAGCATCCAGTCAGAGTCGAGCCAGCGTCAAAGCAGCATAGCAAGACTGAATGTTGACTACCCGGAGACCCACCCTAGCATTTGGCGAGGCTGTCTGGCCTCAGGTCCCCTTTCCACAGCCGTGCACATTCACTCACAGCCCAGGGCCCGGATTGTACAGTTGCAGATTTCCCCCTTGGTCCTGATGCTGTCTGGGTACCTGCATACAAACAAGTGTGTGCGTCTGACCGGCGGCCTCGGCTGGGTACACTTTGACTTTGACTGTTGGAATTTCCGACAGTTGACTTGGTCAACTGTCTCACATTCGGGCCCTGCTTTTTTACATGGGGTTCTTTTCCCCCCTTCGGCCTGGGTCGGAGTGCGGCCAGGTAAGGCCCTCAGAGGCTCAGACAACCTACGAGACATACGGCATGGGTTATTGCATAATTTTAAAATTTAAATCAATGCTGTAATTCGATGGTCCAAGTTCGGCGGTCAACCGTGTATCAGACTCAGACTGGTTGTTTTATAAGGGGACGCTGGTCCGTTGCTGGGGATCCGTTTTCCAGCAGGTGCTGCTCCCCACCAAAAAATCGGGGCCTTCACAAAGGGGCCCTACGCTGGAGGGATACTCGTATCACCCTCCATTGTAGGAGCACCGACCGAAGTTAAAAAAATAATAATAATAATAAAACATGGCCCCTACGCATTTAAAAGGAAAAAGAGAAAGAATGACTTGATGGTGAGGTGAGAGAAAAATATATGGCTGTCCCCCTATGAGGTGAAGGCAGTTTTTTTTTTTTTTTTTAAAAAAAAAAAAAAAAAAAAAAAGCAACCCCACTGTGTGGCCTCTTCCAGTCGAAAACCTTTACCAAAACAAAAAAATAAATAAAAAAAGGATGACACACCTGAGGCCGAAATTTAAGGACTGCACACTCCGAAGGACCTGCGTGAATTCCTCCTGCCACAGTTTATAAAAACGAAAGGAAAAAAAAAAAAATCAGCTCAATTTTCATCCACATCAGATGATAACTGTCAGGGCCAAGTCCCACTTACGCTGATTCTTTTCCATTTCTGGCCGTTGATCTTCGTAATCTACGGTCAGAAATTGAGAATTTGGGTATCAAGTGGGACTTGGCCCCCGGTAGCATCATCTGACCTCTGCAACAGTTCTTCGGAACAGAAAAAAAAGAATGGAAAACGAAAATTACAATTGAAATTAAAATTATGGTACAATTTCCGTACAAATAAATATAACTGTTAAATTTTAATAAATTATGAAAACCCCTTGGCAGTTGGCACTGACCTGGCTGAGCGCACCGCTACCATCAACATCGGCCGCATCGAACGCGCGCTTCAGCTCCATCAGTGTCCGAATGTTGAAATTTGTGAGTTTTCTGTTACGCTGCATGCGAAAGAAAAAGGAAAGTGATGAGAAAAATCGGGGGAAAAAAAAAAAACAAAAAAAAACATGAAGGCAAAACTACTTTGCAGCTCATTGATGCATCAAGGTTAAAAAGGCAATAAAAGAGCCTTTAAAGGGGGGTGCAACAGTTTCTGATAAGCGCGGATGTCATAACTACTGGGGCGGACAGTGGTGTGCACAGAGGGCCAGAGTCCACAAACGACCAAAAAAAAAAAAAAAAAAAAAAAAAAAACCGCATTTTTTGCTCTTTTTGTGCAGTCCAAACCGCCACAGCAACAAAACTTCATTCACTGTTTGTTTTTTTTTCGCATAACATCCATGACAGACAACGACCCGTCAGGCTGTAATAGCGCCTGGTGGGTTGGATTAAGCACTGTTTGATTGCTTCAAATCTATTGGTGGGGAGATGCACCTGTTGGGAAACGGGTCCAACCTCCCGAGTCCCAACCATAAATTCTCGTATCCGTTTTTTTTTTCTTTTTTTTCTGTTTTTTTTTTTCAATATTTCAGAACCTCTCGGTTCCGGCTCCTGCCATTCTGAAATTCTCGTATCCGTAGCATCCAAATTTCCAAAGTCATTGATGACTCACAGACCTCTCACCCATAAGGGTGCCAGATTTTTTTTTTTTTTTTTTTTTTTTCGGGTGCCAGATAATGAAATTACAACCTAGTCTCTAAGTCCTGTACTGCCACACCAATTTCCTAACGGGTCATTTTAGAACCATTGATAGGTTAGCAACAGCACTAGATTCTAACAGCTTTGTTAACCAAGTTCATCATCAGCACAGTGGGAGAGATGCCGGGATCTGACGAGGATGGCAGGGAAGGGATTGGGGTGAGGACGAGTAGTAGGAGGAGGAGGAAGAGGGGGCCGCCCAGCGACAGAGGAGGAAGAGGAGAAGGAGGAGGAAGAAGAGGAGAAGGAGGAGGAAGAGGAGAAAGACAAAGAGGAGGAGGAGGAAGAGGTGAAGGAGGAGAAAGGAAGCACCGAGATGATGAGGAGGAGGGGGAGGAGGAGGAGGAGGAGGAAAAGAGCAGCTGTTGCAGTGCTGGTCACAGGGCTGTTTGAAGCAGCAGCTGCAGCAGCTGTTGAAGAGCTGGTTTCAGATGGAGCAGCGGCAGCATTCGCCGCTGCCTCTGTTGCAGCAGTGCCTGCAGCAGGGAGAGAGAGAGAGAGAGAGAGAGAGAGAGAGAGAGAGAGAGAGAGAGAGAGAGAGAGAGAGAGAGAGAGAGGTAACTGACGGGAATTTGGAGACTTTGACTTCCCGTCAGAAATAAAGTCTTCCACTTCTGGCCCTCGCTGGAGTCTATGTCGGAGCCTTCTGCATCCGTTCATTCAACTTCATTGTTTTTCATCTTCGCATACACACATGTAAGTCCGTATCTTTTTTCTTTTTTGTCTTTTCTTGCCATTGCTAATCTTCTCTGTATCGTTCCAATTTTAACGGATGTCCCGAAGGACATGTACGTTCGCATCTATTCTCTGCTTTTCGCAGACTGGTCGTCTTCAAGTTCTTTTGGACGTGGAGTGATGGACAACTTCCCTGTCTTTTCGTTTGGACCGTTTCTCGATTCACGGCGAATTTTACGCGTGTCATCCTTGGGCAGGGGCCATGCTTATCTTCTCTGTACTATTCCAATTTTTTTATTTTTAATTTTTTCTATTCCAATTTCTAAGGGATGTCCCAAAGGGACGCCAACTTTATTTTCTGTGATTTTTTTTTTTTCTTTTCTTTTTTTTTTTTTCCTGTTTTGAATTGTGTTTTCGAAAAAATGTGTCCTTTTTCTCTTTCCTAGGAGCGAGTCACTTACTTTCTTGAGCATGTCTACCACGGAGTGCCAAATTGGATTCCCTGTTGCTGGGCAAACTCCCACAGCTCACGGATCAATTGAAAGTATTTTCACTAAATTTGTTTAAAATTTAAATACACCAGCCTCTCAGTGCTAATTTTCGCCTGGAGACCCTGCTGCATTGACCACATTCGTTTGGTAGGTAGATTCAGTGCGATGTTCACGAAGTAAGCATGCAACCAGCACAATGTTTACCGAGTAAGCACACAAGTGTTCACAAAGCAAAGCATACTGCCTGTGCAATGATTTACTGAGTAAGCAYGCAGTGACATTGTTCAGGATATGAACGTAGACAAAACCACACACACGTCATCAAGACCATATGACGAAGCACTTGAAAAATGCCGAAAAAGATACAACGTGAGCAAACGCGACATTCCCAATGTGCTACCGTGACGACRCGCGCGAGAAGCGCGGTTACGCCCTACACACSCTGCACGTACGTCTAAGTCTCGACGCGAAGAGGTTTCATCCCTTAACTATCCTACTATTAATAGTCACTACCAAACAGAATCMGAATACTACCTCCTGAACGTCTGACAGACCCGACAAGGTACATCCCGGTACTACCRRATAGCTGGCTCAAGAAGCCACTGTTCCCTGGATCGAACCTCCATTGGTCGTGAGTCTTATTATTTCCCGGATCAAACCCTGGATCGGACCCTCCACTACACACTAGTCTTAGTTCCCAAATCGGACCCTACCTCCTACGAAAAGCGTCCTTACCAAACTCAACACAAAAAGGACAAAACCCAGACTGAAAAGGCACACCAACAGGGCCCTGAAACTTCTGCACCGGACCCTGTCACCCGATGACCCTGATGTCCATAGTTACCCGTTTGGCAACATGAACCCACTCAGGGGCTTTCCTTCGAACAAAACCCCAAAGTGTGCGATCAAAGAAGTCGGCTGGAAAACTCTGCTTCCTCAATTTGCGATTCAGCGACAGCAGCCCTTCTTCCGCACGATCTGTGGAAGAGGTGCATTCCTTTATCTTGTGCAACATGCCATTGATTAGCGTTCGCTTTTGCTTTATGCAGGTGTAGGACGAGAAATCCTGAAAGCACCTGTATGTCAGCTTTTCGCTGTCGTCCCAGATATCCGTGAAGTTCTTTGCTCGATACCAGCTGGAAATTTCATTTGCCTCAATCCGAACTCGGCACCCCAAAAAAACTCCATTTGTTTGACCCATCATCTGTTCTCTTGAGGGACAGCTTGGGATCATAGGCCTTTTCAAATTTTCTCAAGATCTCCTTTGCTTTGCCCCGGTTCTTCCCATTCCAACTTTGCCAAACAAACAACGATACATCGTCAACTAGCCTAATTCGCTTCACCAATCCCACACTCCTCCCCAAACTATCCAAAAACAAACTTTCATAGTATGCACAAAGGATACAGGCGATAGGGGGACTGCTTGACTTCCCCATCGGTATTCCAACCTTCTGCCTGATCATCCTATCTGAAGCCCACAGAAAGGCATTATTCAGATCGAATACAACCATTTCCCTGGTTGACTCAAAGTCAACTCTCACCCAACCTTCTTCGCTTCTTTTTCTCCCAAAGGTAGCTCCCTTCCCCCTTGACCTCACCATCACTGCCTTCTTTCCTTTCTTCTTGAATTCCGACAAAATCCACTCAACGGCTAACATCACGGAATCATGGGGGAGCTTGCTGAACATTTCTTTAATGCCGTAAGCCACCCCCACCAATTCCCCGTTACTCTTCTTTTGGGCCCACTTGTTGACCCCTTCCAGCCTTGACTTCAGCAAACTTGTGGATTTCATATTAAAGTGACGATGCTTTGGTAAAGAGAAGAGTAAGAAGTTCAGAGCCTTCGCTACTCTCTAATTTGCAACTCTCGCTGGTTCAGAGAACGATGGAGAAATCGGACGAAACTGCGTCGAATCTTTGTGTTTTGGAAGAACATACGCCTTCCCCCAAGATCCATTGTTATCCCAGGCACCAATCCTCCTCAGACCTTTCTCTTCATACTCACCTCTTGCTCTAGTCAAAACTTCCTCCTCACTCCTCCAAACAGCATCAAACGCGGGATTGTCCCAGAACATCTCACGCATACCTTCCTCATATAGGACAGGACACATCACCAAAGTTTCGGCGGGATTTTTATCAAGTGGACAGAACACCAATCCTGCCCACCTCCTTTTCAACTTCTCGATCTCGTCGATCAACCCATCGCCCTTTACTTTCTTTTCCCGAATACAACACCTTGCTTGGGGCAACGTCCATGTTGGCTCAAGTCCCGCTTTCACCATTTTTTCATTAAGCTCTTTCCAAAGCCTAACATCATCTTCTTCACTGTCGATTCCTTGAATCACATTCTTTGCGTTCCGGATTCTGTCGTCAATATCATCCCTGCCATTCAAACGAAAGGCCACGTGTTCTCCCTTCCTTGGGAGGTCAAAGTCTGCACAACAACAGACTGTAGCCATTAGGCGGCTAAAGCGCCTATGGTTATGTAGAAGTCCCCCGACTGACTGGTTTCTCCTCCATACCAGCCGGAGCTTCTGACATCGTAGCCTCGCTTCCGCAGCGGATTGACACTGTGATCCGATTTTCTCTACCATCTGCTTCCTAACCACCGCGCGTGATATCCGTTCGTCATACTTGACCCCAATCACTACCCTCCTTCTTAAACTAACGCCAAACCTTCTCTTAACCACACTATCCACTATCCCTTTCAAAGACTTCCTCGAGCTCTTCCTTGAGAAGCTTTGGATCTCTCGGTACAGATCGATAAACTCTTCTCGTTGCAGTGTCTCAAGCTTTTTCCTCGACCATGGGCATTTAAGCAATTGAAGCAGTTGCTTCTTAAGTTTTGGGTTCCCCTGAAGTTTCTCCTTAATTCTTACGAATCGTACCTCCCCTCCTTCCTCGAAGAAACACTTTGCGTTCTTAAGCTTACTCTTCTTGCTTTTGTACAAAACTTCCGACTCCCCAAACATCCTTCTCGTCACCCCCCAGTCTTCCATCCAGATTTTACCCCCGCTCGACACCACCCTCCTTTCATTCTTACCCTTGCAGTCTTTGATCACCTTACTTAGCTTACCGGTAGTTCCTGAACCTGATCCGTAAAAACGTATCACCCTCTCATTGTCAAAGAACACTTTTCTCTCCTTCTTCCTCTCCCTCCTTCCCCTTCTCTTCTTCTTCTTCCTGTTCCTTCCATCTTTCCAGCCGTTCACATTCAATACCGGGCACCACCGTCGAATCAGCCTCTGTTCCAATTTTTCCAGCTCAGATTTCTCCGCTATCGCCACTGGGATTGCAATATACGACTCTCACCCCCACTTCCTTAACCAGAGGTACAACTTATTCTTACGGTTGTCACTATTCGATTGCGCCCTACCTACATGCTCATACCATCTTTCACTTAACTTCCTCTCAGTCTTCCCCAAGTAGGTTAGCTTACACCACGGACTCAATAAAAGGTAAACACAGGAGTCTGGATCGTCCCACTTATCTCGTTCTCTCTCAAATATCTCCCAGATACATTCAATGTATTTCCGTCCCCAACTAATCTCATTATCCAGGATTAGTAGCAACACCGAATTTCTTAGTATCTTCTCTACCAGAGGATGCAAACACTTACCCTTTTGGTTCAACTTACACCACTTACGTAATTCCAAAAATCTTAGCAGAAATTCTCATCCGTTGGAGTTACTCGTCAACGTCCTCCTCTTGAGGTTCTTGGACTTCTCCCCTTATCTGGTCTTCTTCGCCCAGCTTGCAGGAGGTTGAGCTAGAGGGTTCCTTCCCTCTGTAGCAGTACGTAACTCGCAGCTCGGACAGAGTGTCGACCGCATCATTGACGCCGTAGAAGGGCAGACCTGCCCCTTTGCACATCGCCTGCAGAGTTTCTGGGTAAAACAATGAAATAGTCTTTCTCACCGCCTTCCTATACACCGCCTCAGTCGCGTATTTATCGCCCATCGGCACACCTTCCCAAGGATCTTCTCCTTTGGCTATGCGTGCTGCCTGAGATTCCGCTTTTAGTTGGTCGTCCTCTTGTCTTTTGCTTTTGACTTGCTGGTGTCTCCACCCTTTCCTTTTTCCCCTGCTTCTTCAGCGTTTCCACAGGAGGACTGTTTTTGACAGCCCCAGTGGAGTCTCGTTTCTTCCTCTTGTCGTTAAGCGGCGTAGCTTCCTCCTCCTCCTCTTCATCAACGTCACCCTCTTCCGACCCCCCCGACGGGGTTGCACTCGCCTTCCCCTTCTTTTTTGCTCCGATCGTCAAACCTTTTAACTTCCGATTAATCCCTATGATCTTCTCCAACTTCATCTCGAATTCCTCGGCTTGTTCTGCCAGTAGCTTCTTAGTCTCCCACCTTCGTCTCTTCTCTTTGTCTTCCTTCGCCAACTTTTTCTCCATAGCGAGTTTTGCTGCCTCTTCCTTCGCAACTTTTTCTTCTTCGTCCTTCTTCATCTTCAACTCGGCCTCACGTTTGGCCTCTTCGGCTTCCTTCTGTTGTTCAAGAAGCTGCCTCGCCATTCTCCCCACCACGCTTAGGGAGTCTTCAAGGTCCCTGCTAAGTGATATTGTACCACCGCCTCCTCCATACTTACCCTGCAACCTTGGACATTGACTTCTATAATGGCCAAATTCCCCACATTCATAACATTTAACTTGTCTCGGCGCATCACTCCTTCTTCCCTGATCATCGGCTGAGTAGCCTCGTCTATCATCCCATCTTCTTTCACGCTCTCGCCCCCTGTCCCTTCGATCATCTCCACTGTCCCATCCTCCGCTCTCGTATCCCCTAAACCTCTCGTTTCTTCCCCATCAACCGCTTCTCCTACTACCCATCTCCAAGTCTTGGCCTGTAGGGAGTATTTCAGCCCACCACAGTCTGTCGTCAACTCGTTTGCGACGGCTACTAACGCGTCAACTGGTTGTCTCCGTACTGCACCTTCACCGTAAGACCGCTTCGCCGTGAAATGTAATTAGCTCCTCACTACCACCAAGTTCCGAGTGACTTCCCTCGGCAGGTTGTAGCAATCGTTCACAGAGAGGTAGATTCAATGTGATGTTCACGAAGTAAGCATGCAACCAGCACAATGTTTACCGAGTAAGCACACAAGTGTTCACAAAGCAAAGCATACTGCCTGTGCAATGATTTACTGAGTAAGCACGCAGTGACATTGTTCAGGATATGAACGTAGACAAAACCACACACACGTCATCAAGACCATATGACGAAGCACTTGAAAAATGCCGAAAAAGATACAACGTGAGCAAACGCGACATTCCCAATGTGCTACCGTGACGACRCGCGCGAGAAGCGCGGTTACGCCCTACACACSCTGCACGTACGTCTAAGTCTCGACGCGAAGAGGTTTCATCCCTTAACTATCCTACTATTAATAGTCACTACCAAACAGAATCMGAATACTACCTCCTGAACGTCTGACAGACCCGACAAGGTACATCCCGGTACTACCRRATAGCTGGCTCAAGAAGCCACTGTTCCCTGGATCGAACCTCCATTGGTCGTGAGTCTTATTATTTCCCGGATCAAACCCTGGATCGGACCCTCCACTACACACTAGTCTTAGTTCCCAAATCGGACCCTACCTCCTACGAAAAGCGTCCTTACCAAACTCAACACAAAAAGGACAAAACCCAGACTGAAAAGGCACACCAACAGGGCCCCGAAACTTCTGCACCGGACCCTGTCACCCGATGACCCTGATGTCCATAGTTACCCATTTGGCAACGTGAACCCACTCAGGGGCTTTCCTTCGAACAAAACCCCAAAGCGTGCGGTCGAAGAAGTCGGCTGGAAAACTCTGCTTCCTCAATTCGCGATTCAGCGACAGCAGCCCATTCATTTAGGCTGATCGAACATTTTGAAAAATGTATTGACACCATAACCATGTCCGCATTCATGTCAAGCACCCTGCAGTCGAGTGTGGCCCCAGGTTCCACTTTTTCATAATGACTAGCTTAGCGCCCGCGGTGTGGGCGGCATGGCCGTGTGGGCGGTGCGGGCTACGCCCGCATAAAAAACCATCACAAAGATCAGTCAAAGTACTCACGCAGATAGGGCACAACACACTCAACATGCATTCAAAATTGTTTCGATTTGGACTCGATGACAGACTCAAAAGTACTAACCCGAACAGTCTGGCCACAAACAGACTTCAAAGAATCTCTGAACAAATTGTTTCAACTTGGACTCAATGACAGACTCAAAGTAGACTGACACAAACCCAGAAGAGAGGGGGAGAGAGAGAGAGACGGAGAGAAAGGGATGCAGGGAGGGCGAGAGACAGAGAAAGGGAGGCAGACA